GTTCCATTAGGACCAATCCATTGTCCACCATTCAAAGTAGCACCAGGTAATGTACACTCTAGAGGAGTTGGTCTAATTGTATTATCCCAAAAGTATGATCCGTTGGAATAACAGGTTCCATTATGCCTCAGGTAGATACCTATAAAAACCTATACAATTGTTATTATACACATCCAGTGTCTTACCTGAGGAAGGTGGACACTGACTAATAACTTCACTGACACTCAACAAGAAGACAATGGACAGTGCTAGAGCTGAAATCATTTTAAGAGTTCACTGTCTCATGTACTATCTGAATATAATTGCATTTCAAGCAATGTATGGCAACATTTTAAAAGTAAACAAAACAAGTCAAGCATTCAAGCATGTGCACATTATACTGTGTAGTCATCAATAGCAGATGCAGCAAGTGTAATAGCATGTGCAGGTTTATGTTAGATTTGTTTATTGTTTTGACATGGATTGGTGGTCAGTAGGTCTATCACTATGTTCTATATCTGTCACAATTTAGTAGTTTATAGATTGTGACTGGTGTTAGTGGCATGATTGCCTCATGGTATAGCACTGTATGTGTGCTGCTATAAATTGTCTACTAAGCAATGTCAACTTTAGACTAATAATAAGAATGTACAATTTACATATTAAAATTACTACATCTATAAATCAAATTTGTGTTACAAGCTTAATTTAAGTTGTCAATAGTATTCTACATCATAGACTATATGTACATATACATAGACAGTACAGCGCAAAAGGATTTACCCTTATGTACATACTCTATTATTGTTCTATTCCTCATTGTTAGTTACATGCATATGTAACTAGAAGGAAGAATGACTCTCGCCATTTTGTGTTTCTGCTGTCCAAATTTCAAACATAAAAATTTAATTAATCAAATAGTTACAACTGTTTTTAAAGTCATTACAACTCATCTAGCCTCGCCATTGCTTCCTCCATTGTCATGAGATCCGACAAACATTTTTTAACTTCAATGCGCCTTTCATTAATAAATTGTTGAAGTAATTCTATTTCTTTAAATCTTTCTCTGTGTAACTCTTTAAAATTTTTTGAATCTGCTTTGCATTGCGTAATATTTTTTTCTTTTTCTGCTATGTTTCTTTTTAATTCTGCAATCTCGTCAGCATATTTTATTCTTTTTTTGGTATACACAGTAATTGATGCATAAAGTCCACGCATGAATCTCCCTTCAACTCTTCCACTAATTGTATGGGATGTTTTGACTATGTCTTTGAATTCACATTTTCCATTTGTCCACATGGTGTATTTTGTAATTTCATATGGTGATTTAATGTTAAAATTTCGTGTGAACGATCGAAACATTCTTCCTTCTTCATTAATGGACCATCGTGCAGCCACGACATCTTCTGTTGCATCTTTTTCACACAAAATTGCCTCGAAATGCTTAATTTTTCTTTCTGCTTCAATAATTTCCACCTCTTTGTTGAGTGTATAATCAAGTAACTTTTCACTATCTTTGTGAACCTCTTTCAATCCTTCCTTATACCCAATTATCTCTCCCTGCAGCTCTTTGTACTTTTCAATATCTTTCTGTTTAATGTAATCTGTTTTTGCTACCATTTGGTTCATCACTTCTATTGGTAGCAATTGAATGATATATTCAAGGATTGTTGTACGTACGGCTAGACTAGTATGAATCTCATGATCATTCAGTGGCAGACAGTCGATTGCAAACAGTTGCTTTATTTGCTGATTGGAGCATTTCTCAAGCTCTAGTATTGTATTGCGCTTTACTTGCTCTACATTAATGTGCTGCCTCTTTCTCATTATTTCTGAATGCTCATCAGTTGCATAGTCAGTCATTACAATGATGACATTGTTATCAAACAGACCAGGCAAGAGCTTACTGTAATATTCCAGTGTTGCTCTGTACTGTGCATCAATTTTAGCATTGAATTTAACAACGAGAATACAAGCTGTGATTTTTTTGTACTCATTTAATGTTTTTATAATACCAATCATATGTGATAAATCTTTATCAGCACTTTTATTCAACCCCGGGGTATCGATTATGGTAAGCATCTCACTTCTACCATCACCAATTTGTACCTTCTTACGTACGACTTTGACTTCTTGTGTCATTGGCCTGTTATCTGTGGCTGCAGCAATTAAGGTTGGGTATTCATACATGTGTTTATTATCAGGATCCAGAAGGAAATTTCCAAAGGTGCTTTTTCCCATTCCAGTGGATCCTATGAGGAGAACAGTTGCGGTTGAAAGTGGCTGATGGTAACGAAGTGTTGTTGGCGGAGGTTGTGTTTGTGAA